TAGCAACTGTCAACTGATTCACTTAAAAGTTAAAAAAAAAATACTATTATGGAGTTAAAAGTATTTCAATCATGTAGGAAAATATTATCCTTTAATAATTGTCCTCAAGGACCCTGGAGAAGAGTCCTTGGTGCAAGGTGAAAAAAAGTAACAGCAGCTACAACCTATAGGCTGGTCTGACTGTATGCTCTTGGAGCAATTACACACGATTTCTAAATCTGATTTTCTTTTAATCTTCATTTCTGCTTCCTGCTCTCCATGTTTTGCCTTTCAACTGGACTCCCACCTTCAATAACCACTTGTTTCTCTAAAGTGACTAATTGGCAGATTCCAATTCTTGCCATTGGTCTGTTTGCTCAGATCTTATGGTAGCTACGCTTGCCCATATTCTAACCACCAGCTCTTGCTCTGTCATCCCTCCACCCAGATCCTAGACCTCGTGCTTTGACCCTAAACTGCTGAGGTTGGGCAAACCATCTCTGCTACCTGGCACTCAGCTGGATAGTGATGGTAACTTTCCAGCAGTACAGACAGCCATCTAAAGTTATGGTGTATAATTTTTAAGGATGTGTGGAAATGCTCATGATGGTATGTTATGTTAAAAAAATGAAGGTATAATCTCAACTGTATACATAAAAGCACACAGAAATAGTGTTCAAAATATTTTAAGTAATTCCTCTGCACCATTCTAAGTGCTTTAGATATGTTAATTCACTCAATCCTTTTAACAATCCTTTGAGGTAGGTTTTATAATGAACTCCATTTTATAGATGAGGAAACTGAGGCAGAGTGGTTGAATAACTTGCCCACAGGGTCCAACAGCTAGTAAGAGTTAGAGCCAGGATTTGTATTCAAGCAAACTGGATTCAGAACTTGTGCATTGAACCACTATGCTATATTGTCGCTACTCAAATAGGTAACAGCTTGGGTTACAGGTTTGTGTCATATCTGTCACTTACTAGGCAAAGGCAAGTTACTTAATTTCTCTGTGTTTCAGTCTCTTCATCTATAGTAAAAGGTGGCTGCATCTCATAGGGCAGTGGAAACGATTAAATGAGTTAATATATTTGAAGTGCTAAGAATAGCACTTCACACGCAATAAACAGTCAATGTCAGTTATTATTATTATTATCATCATCATATTATATGTACCTTTATGTGGGGGAAAAAACTAGAATGATTTACCAAACTGCTACTTATATGAATCTGATTATATCTGCATGTAAGAATATAAGGCTGACGTTCATAAATACTCCCTTAAATAATGGAAGCATTAGTGCAGACATTTTATACATTCTTCCTGAATACTGATATAGGCACTGAATACAAAGGGCTATGATAGAAAACAATAATATTACCATAACAACATTGTAACATAACAATAATTAACATTTATTAGGCATTAACTATGTGTTAGACACTGTTGTTGGTACAACAACTCTGTAGGGTTGGTCCCATTTTACAGATGAGATGAGGAAAAGAAGGAACAGAGAGGTAGAGTAGCCTGTTCTGGGTCACACAGCTAATTAGTGGTGTAAATATAAATTCTGGGTGCCTAGGGGAGGTGTGTGAGATAGGCTTCATCTTCTTTGGGTCTTTATAGCTACCACAGTTCCACTAAGATTCTGAAATTTTGGTTCAATAAATCAGGAATTGATAGTGGGACTATATATGTGATTGCTACCTTCTAATTCACAGCACACTGCCTGCCCCCTCTCCCCTTGAAATATTGCTTCCCTATTATTTTTATAATCAAAAACAAAATTGTACTTTAAGAAGACTCCGAGATTAGGATAATTCTTGACTAGTTACAGAGTCTAGTCTGATGATAATCACATATGTTTGCACTTAGTTTTGAATTCCACCAGCTATGTAATACTTGTGAGTACTACTGGGTCTAATAGAGAACAATACAAAAGAGAGAAAAACATGGCAGAAAAGTAAGGGGTAAGAGAAATAAACGGAAGAAAATAAGGAGGGAAAGAACAAAAGAACAAAAGTTACTGTGTCACAACAACGCTTGCAGACAATTTCATTAGATGGCGCCGACACCTCCTCTAGCTTAGCTGTCCTCAGATTGCCCTTCTAGGGAACTGATTCCTGAGCCTTACTCAGCCTTACTTGGTCATAACGGAGGCATTAACTAGAGTGGAATGATTTAGTTTTTGGCTGAATTTATTGGCTCTCCTGGCAGATCTTCTGTGTCTTTAGACACATTATTCCAGGTTGGAGCAGGTCTGAGCTGGTCTCTGAGTGTGTAACTACTCTGGAGGTAAACACTAGGAGCATTCTCTATAAACAACACTAGAAAGGAAACTACTAATATTGTCCATTCAAGCTAGCATGTGACAAAAATCCTTTATCTCCATTGTGGAACATATTATTCGTATTTTGGGCAACACATGTATTTTCCTCATTGTAATTTGTTTAAGCTAATATTAAAATGTGTTTGCATTCTTTGAGAACTGCAAACAATAACAAGGAGTAGTACCAGAAACAGGGATACACTAGCCTAACAATAAAAACTTGATTACAACCTTACGGAGAATATACAAAATAAAATTCTGGTATATGATACGATCTCATTAAAGCATGCATACTATAGTATGTAAAAAGAACAGAAAAGGAGAGGTACTTTTTTTTATAATTCCCTGCTAGGAAGCACACAAGAAATAAACTGAACTTGTGAGAATAAAAAGCAAAACAAACATTTGACTTAGTACCAAATAAATATGGAACTTATTTACTACTAACACAAGACCATTTAAAAAAAATTTATAATGGATTTGAATAGTGGAGGCCCTTTATTATTTATCTCCCACATATCTATGCTACTTAGAAATTAATTTAACAGTAATCAGTAAAACACATTGATCTGAAAAGAATTAATTCCTTTTTTCCCCTCAGAAACAAAGTTGAAATCTCTAAATGTCCTACCTAGCCTGTGTTGAGTGAAAGTTTATTGTTTTGGCCAAAAGTAAAAGAGAGGGTTTGGTTTTGGTAGAGTCAGGATTTGGAGAAGAATGGAATCCACCGTGATGCTGGGGTCAACCTCTTCTGATGAAGGAAGCTCATATATAACCAGATTATTTTTATTTCTGAGACATAAAAAACATTGATCTATCCATTAGTCCCTTATTTTCTCAAAGCAATATATAGCTTTATTTTCCTTAAGTAAGCTAAACATTTGCTACATCTGAAGTTCTTAGAAGAAAGAAAAGCTTGTGAAATACTAAACACCAAGACCAAATGATCTGAGAAGAATTCTGAAAAAGCAATCAAATATGACTTTAGATCATTATGTTTTACCACAAAAATCCAAGTTCAAAATAATATTGATATATTCTAAAAAGTCCTAAAAAAGAAAACCCCAAAACTTTATCTGACATTTTAGAATCTTGCCTATAAAATTTGATTGTGTAATTAATTTGGCACAGTATATCCTCATAAGATCAAGGCTGGTAATGTATGTCATGAGACTGAGAGTCCAACTTTCAACTGGTTAATTTTTCCCCAAAGCAGGAAAACATTGATTCTTTAAGAACACAAGATTTTGATTACTGCAATATTGGTTTGTAATAGAATTTGACCTGCACTTAGTTTTGTAAAAAACTGTATACTCGTATGTTAGCAGTTACATTTATATTCCTTCTTCTTCATTCAGTTACTTCTATTATGTGGAAATCAATGACCATGCTTACAAAACCACTCTCTTGTGATCCTATTAGGTTCTAAATCAGATGTTTGATTTCAAGAGTTTACTTAGCTTGAAAGTAAACAAATTAAACTTCCTTCCTTGTGGGATTAAGAGGTACTTGAGAGTTCCCAACCACACAATTATTTTAACATGTCATTCTAACTAGAATCACAATAGTGATTTTTAATTTGATGAAGAGACTTGGTTCCGATAAAACTAAAGAATCAGAAATGGGACTTTTAGAAAAAAATACATTTTTTGCAAATTATGACTATCCAGCAGAGATCTAATTAGTGAAGAAATACTTATTAATATGTACTTATATAGGAGATATGGAAATCATGAATTCATCCCTAATGTAGTCAAATAATAGCTGTGCTCATAGTGATTGGGTAAACACATGGTGAACAGGCTACAGGATTTGCCCACTTACCTTAGATCAAGTTTGTTCCACATCTGTTTAGTCTAGTGTGACCTCTGCTGTCCTTATCCTGTTCTAGGACTTCCCTAGGAGTCTTGGCTACTTCTTACCTTCTCTAGAACACAGTTCTACAAGCCTGAATCCAGACATTCTAAGAATGAATTTGCTTCCAGGGAACTCTGGAAACAGCAATCTTTGCAGGCCTTCTACTTAGGGGACGGATACAGGGCCACATTTTCAGAGTGACACGCTTCCCTGGAATCTTGTTCCATAATGCTGGGGCTTGTCCCTAGCCTCCAAGGCTGAAAATCCTTTAATTTCGTTACCTAGATGCCTCTCATCCCTTTTGTAAAGATGACTGTATTATATTAATACTAATGAGAGCAGTCTTGTCTAGTCAGCTATTAGCCTGTTCTAAAGTTCTTACTAATAAATTATAGGTAAAAAGGATACAGAAACTTGATGAAATGGACCAGTTCATCTGGCCTCATTCTCAAATCTAATTGCATATGTCTTCTTGATTATTTTCTTAATATTTAACTTTTAAAATCACATGCACAGAATAGATTATATAAGGCAACTTCCAGGATGTCTTCTGTTTTGCCATTCAGCATAATTCTAAAGCACTGTCTAACTCTACTCAGTTGGTATACACTACTAGAATTCCAATTTCATTCATTATTCACCTAAGATCCATTCTTTGCTTTCTGGACCCTATTACATTATTTATTTCAATGATAATTTATTAAATCTCTAATAAGACAAAAACACTGGAAACAGAATCCTTTGCCCTTCTTAAAATACTGGTATAATGGACATACCCTTGACCCTGAAATTGCCTTATGAAATTCTATCTGAACGAAATGAGTTCTTCTTCTATACCTTATTGTCAGTCCTAATCATGACTTTCAGTTGTGGTAGTACACGCTCCACTTCTAGACTCCATTCTGCAGCATCTGTTGTGGATTCTAAAATATCTTCTTGTTTGGCAGACTCGTTCATATCCTAAGAAAGGAAAGATATCACAAGATTGAGAGTTTATAAAAAGAAGTGTTAAAATTTTGAGGCTTTTTAGCAGCATTGCACAATTTATATCAAGCACGGTAGTGTTAAAATTATAGTGGCAGAAGAAATTCTTTTCTGTCCTCCTATCCATGTTGAAAGAAAATAATGCACCAACCTGGTAGAATAGCAAAATAAGTATTTTTAAAAAGAAACAAATATATGATTCAACTATTTTTACAAAGAACAAAGTTTTGGAGTTATCAGAGTGAACTCAGTGGGAAATACTTTCAATAGACAAACCATTTATGCATGCTAATTGGTAACAGTAGAGGAGACACACATTTGGTAGGAAAACACTGCCTTTAGTTTGAATTTACTATACTGAAATACCAACCTCAAATCTGAAAGACAAAAAAGGTAAGATCCCAGAAGCAAAGGGATCATTATTTATAGATTTTGTATTCATAATTAAAGTGGTATTCTAGTTAGGTCAAACTATAAGGTAGCTTAAAAATGTGATTTAATACAGCCCTACTTAAACTCAAATAGGGAGGGAGCCAAATTTCTGCATTTGGTTTGTGCTGTTCAGTAATAAAATCAATTCATGTCTGTTTTGGAAATCTTTCTGGTTTACAACCCCTATTTTCTCAGACTTTCACATTTCAGCATTAAATATGTATGAAGCTGAAAATGTAAAAAATGCACAAATTAATGACTTAAAGGTAAAGCCTAACATGCTAATTTTAATAGCAATTTTTCCTTTTCAACTCCCTTGATAAATTACAAGAAAATGTAAAGAAAAATATAAAAATTAATATGGAAAAAATGAAACCCGAGAGACATAAACAGCCGAATACAATGCATGAACCTTATATGGGTTCTAATTTGAACAATCTGTAAAGGGACATTTTTGAGACAACCAGGGAAATCTGAATGTGGAAGGGTATTAAATGACATTAAGGAATTATTAATTTTATAGGTATGATAATAATATGGTGCTTATGTTTAAAAATAGGCCTTATAAATCAGAGATAAATTCTGAACTATTTACAGGTGAATTGACATGATGTCTGAAATTTACTTTAAACACTATGGGGCAAAGAAAGGAGGGGGACTTCCGAGGAAACACAATTGACAAAACGTTAGCTGATGAAACTGGGTAATGTTGCATAAGGGTTCATTATCATATTCTCTCTTAATTTTGTATATGTTTGAAATAGTCCATGATCATATTCCATGGTATAGTCTTTTAAAAATAAAATAGTATATAAACAACCTCATGGTGAAATTACAATCTCAATGTGAATTTATGTCACTAATAGACATTTCTTAAATGAAAGCTCATTAGACAAGTCTTTCCAATTTAGTCTAACACTAAGTACAAGAATAGCCTTGGGCCGGCCGAGTGGCACGATGGTTAAGAACTGGCTTGGGACACCAGAGGACCCCGGTTCAGATCCCACATATGAGGGCCAGTGACACTGCCCTCTACAGCTAAGATGCTGAACAACAGCTCAACCTGGAGCTGGGCTGCCGTGAGTCCACTGGCGACGGCGTAAGCAGCCCCCTGCTGCAGTGGGTTGCCATGGGCTACTGTGTGTAGCCAGCAGCCAGCATGAGTGGCCATCCAGGAGCCAGTGACTGATCTGCCTCACCAGGGAAGAGCGCAATGATGGTGCCAACTTGGGCCAGTGAAGCAACATCCTCCACAACTAGACTGAAGAACAAAAAGACAGCAACTTGTCTGTTCCCCTCCCCCCAATTCTCCAGCACCATTCCCATCCCCCCAATTCCCCAATAAAAATCTTAAAAAAAAAAAAAAGCCTTAAATTGGGATTTGTATTTCTGTTAGAGCCTGATGTCTTTAAGGGCTTTCAACTTACTCCTCACTGAGTCTTTAGGGCATAGAAAAAGACCCTTTCTCCTACCTCCTAAGTCATATTAGCAAGTTCTAAACAGACTCAGAGACTTGGAAGGAACATATATTACTTTTTATTCAGAAATTCAGTGGGTTGTAGAGTTCTAACCACACAATTAGAGAATGGGTAACTAATACATGCTTTTACATTTTATAATATGTGGTCTGAATTTACTTAGTCACATTTTATTTAAACAACCAGAAGTATATATATATATATAAAAAAAAGCATTAACTTAAGAAAAGTAAAATGCGGAAACTCTAAGTGAAAAGTGTTTCAGATTCTATTTTAAACATTTCAGTGCTCATTTAAATATAGAAACACTGCATTATTTTGAGTACTTAATAGAACGCTATGTGTGTCTATGTAACCTGAATCCAGGATAGCTGGCGAGGGGCTGCAGTATCCACAAAATAGACATGTGTGAAGTATATCAGAATGTATGTGATAGCAGAAGAGATACTGGGTCTCACAGTTGAAACCTAAAGCCATGGGGGAAATTTATGTCATGTAACTCCACATTGGCACCCATAAAATGCATATCCTTGGAGGAGCCAGGTAATTGCAACTCATTGGCACATCCCAGTACCTGTCCAGCTCTAGGAGGCTCAATTCTGACTGACTCATTTTCCATACCAACCAGGGTAGACTTATTGAGATGGGAGTAGGGTGAGAGGATGTATACACTACCAGTGGTATGTGGGCTCTGACATTTGGGGTGTGTGTGAAGTATATACACAGGCTTGCTCCTGCCAGGGTTATGGGCCCCCATATCCCAAACCAGCAGAGCCAGGCTGAGCCAAAGGGGCACATACTTTCAGCAACAGTTTTGTATGATTTTTAATAGAACGCAGATATTCTGGTCACTGATTTAAAACTAAGTTTGATTTATGGAACCACTGCTTGGGTGACTTGAAGGTGGATGCTACTGATTAAACGTCTGAGCCAATGCTCCTGGTCCCATCCCCTCATTCCCATTCTTTATGGAATTCCTTGTTCCATTCCTTATGAGAGGGTGGAGTCCATAATCACCAAACTAGGCCAGAGAGGGTACCCATCCACATTCCCACTTTTTTTCCAGGACTGAACATAGAATTGTTCAAGTTGTGCATAACATACTCAACAATTTTACTCAAGGAAGGGCACATTTTTCTAATTTTCACAAGGGAAATGGATTAGCGGTGGTCCTGCTTGAATCAGACTCAGAATCTAAGTAGGGTACCTGGGGATCAAACACTACATTTCGATATCCCAGCGCATAAGCTACTATTTGTTTTTATATTGGACCTTTTAGAAAGTTGCATTTACCCTTCTTAGCTTATTATCTGATGTAGCTGCTCAAAAGTTTTCATTCACTTCTAGGCCATAGTTAATATACTGGGGGAAACGGCTCAGTCATTAAATGAAGAAAGGGGAAAAAGAGAACATTAGGCTCACTAGGGCAGCATTAACTTATTCAAACTATACAGCTTCTTTCTACTTCCATGTTTGCACATCTATTTCATAACCTTGCTCCTCACTCTAAATGTCCTAATGCCTAATAAGTGGATACATTAACTGAGCAAGTCCTACATAGGAAGCATAAATCATTTTAAAACTCTATACCATGTCTTGGTTATAATACTTTGAGAAAACCTTTCCTTTCCAATTGTTTCTCCATTAAATAAATGGTATTTTATGTGGCGCTGTTGGTAGAAGAGAAATACACTGCTGTTTCCATTTAATCAAAATTTTATATCATCATGACAAAGCCCCTCTCTGCAACATTAAATAAAATAAAGCAGAGCTCTTGGGAAATTGTGCTTTCCAGTTAATGCTGCTGAAGAAACAATTAGAAGCTCAATAAGACACAGGCTATCCAGAAGTCTCATTTATAATTAATTAATTTACCAATAAGCCATTTGTTAAGCTCCCATAACATGCAACGTAAGAATCCAGGCACTGTGCTCGGTGTGGAAAGATAAAAGGATTTAATCCATGTCTGCAAAGAGTTTACAGACTATTAGGAAGAGTCTGAGGTTAGTCAATGGGGCTAATAATTGGATTGGTCCTAAAAAAGCAACTGATGATAACTGACTCTAGGACTGCCAAAGGAAGAAGGGAAGGTAATAGTCTACACTATCCCATAACAACCTTGGGTTCAAATAGTGGAGTATACCACCAAAGTCAATTCAAGGATCAAACAGGCAGTATTAACATTTCCCAGGTAATATTAATGAAATGATTAACCATCTGAAGAAATACTATGATATATATATATATAAATATATATAACACACACGTGACATATACATGTGTATATATGTACATATGCATAAATATACACACACACACACACACACACACACACACACACACACACGGAGGGTGCCAAAAAATATATACACATTTTAAGACAGGAAAAAACTGTATTAAAATTACGCTGATGGTAACCACTTTGAGCACCTCTTGTAATTACAGAAACAGAAGTCAAACGTTGTTGCCATGCAGCTGTTCAGCCTTCTGTCGTAGCCCGCCCGCGCGCCTCCCCCCCCACGCTTAACCCTAATCTGACCCTTTTGAGGACACTGCTCATACACCTTGCGTCTCCCTGTTTGGCTCCAAAGGATGGCCGGTTAGTCAATGACGGGTAAGATTCCTCGTGGGAGGAACAACCTAAGACAGGCACGGTCGGTTGGAGGCCATCAGGAGAAATCTCGGGGCTGATGGAGGTGGGCATGAGCCCTCACTCACCCCCCAAAGAGACTGGAGGTTTTCTACCTCTGTAGCAACATTCCTTCCCTCAATCTGCTTGGGAAATGACCTGATGGTGTGACAGTATCTGTCCTCAGCACAATAATCTTATCTTCGTGGGGTCGTTTGTTTGCGTATAGGGTGTGTGAAAGCAGAGCATCTGTCTTATCGCTGCGGACTCTTGGTAATAGCAGCTTGCAGGCATGGGTAACCTGGCTTGAGAAAGTTCTCAGGAATGAGACTCACAGACTGTGGAGAAAACAATGCTACTTCCGGGTAGGTGGAGAAATAAAGGCGGTGTGTCGGCCCAATTCGAGGATCTTAGTCCACGAGGCTGGAGACCCTTGC